AAGAAAATAAAAAAAGAAAGGAGCACTACTGACCTGTCTCGTCCATCAATTATTTTTCTTTCTATTCTAGGTTTTCTCTATTTGTTCATTGTTCTTTTTTTTTTCTCATCATTGTTCAAAATTTGACCTTTTTCTAATCAATATACTTATTTGAAAATATTAATTGAATTTCGTTTTGTTTTTTTAAGATGTCACTCTATTTAGTCACAGACGCATTTCGTAAACTCGGTTCACCGGATATTAAAAATGATGATTTCTATGATCGATTAAGTCGTAAATATTCACTGATATTACTTGGTGTATCATTTGTAATTGTTAGTTCATCACAATTTGTTGGTCAACCAATAAATTGTTATACACATAATATACCAGGTAGTCATACTGGTTATGTTAATTGGGTTTGTTGGATAAGTTCTTCATATTATATACCATTTGAAAAACCTTTACCAACACGTTATCAACAACCACCAGAAAAAATGTAATAGAAGAACAAAATTGATAATTTATAAAATCATTTTATTTTATTTTATTTTTTTTATAGTCCTTATTATCAATGGGTTCCATTTATTTTGCTTTGTATGATGTTTCTTTTTTATTTACCCGGTTTTGTATGGCGTAATCTTAATAAATCATGTGGTATTAATACAAAAATTATTACAAAAATGGTTACTGATATGGATCAAATGGATGGTGAAAAACGAGAAATAACTGTACGATCATTAGCTAAACATATTGATAGAGCATTAGCTTATCATCGAGATTATGATCATGGTTTTTTGTATGTTTTAGTTTTTTTTTTGTATATTAAAATGTATTGTTTTTTTCTTAGCTATAATTTTCGTCGACGTGTAGGATCAATACCTTGTTGTAAATTGGGTCAACATGCAGGCAACTATTTAACATTAACATATGTTTTTGTTAAATTACTTTATATAGCTAATGCTATTGGTCAACTTTTTCTTTTAAATATATTTATGGGTAGTGGATTTACTTTCATTGGTATTGAAGCAATTCAACGTTGGATGAATGGTCAAGATTTAGCTGTTGTTGAACGTTTTCCACGTATAACTATGTGTAAATTTATAATTCGAGCACTTGGTGATAATATTCAACCATATGATGTTCAATGTCTTTTACCAATTAATATTTATAATGAAAAAGTAAATTTATTCTTCAGTTGTGTTTTTTTTTATTTTCTTAATAAAGAGAAAGTTTTGTTTTTTTTTCTAGGTATTTTTATTAATTTGGTTTTGGCTTGCATTTATTGCTATTACATCGATTTATGGTCTGATTAAATGGTTATATTATTTTACACCAGGTGCACGAATAAATTTTATTGATAGATTTTTAAACGCAAATAATATTGAATATTGTAAAACATCAACATCATCCTCGACAATGGGTATACATTCAAGTGATGATCAAGCACCTATTAAACGCCTTGAAGAATTTGTTGAAAATTATTGTCGACAAGATGGTCTATTACTTTTACGTATTATTAAAAAAAATACAAATAATGTTATTGCTGGTGAAGTTATTTGTGCATTATGGAATAATTGGAAAAGAATGCCACAAATTCGTTCGAATGCATCATCAGAATCGGATAATGGTGGTCAAATAATTGGTTTAGGTGTTAAAGGTTCATTGAAACAAAATGGTGCTGGTGAAGGAAATGAAAAATTATTACCGCCTATGTCAGGCATATTATCATAAATATTTAAGAAAAAAAAATATAAAATTAGAAACCAGATGAACTCTTTGAAATTAAAAAGAGGATGATAATGTTGTTTTGGTTCTTGTTTTTTCTTTCTCATTATTGTATGGCTTTTTTTTTCTATTTTCATTTTTGTTCATATACGTTAAATTGATCAGAATTTGATATTTACCTATTTGGATTACTATCATGATATGTTTTTTTTTCTTCTTTTTTTTTTCGTCTATGTAGTGGTAATAATAAAACTTCTGTGAAATTGAGAATGAATGAATTATACGAAGAAA